ATTAGTATTTTCTGTGTATATTCCGGTTGATAGTGTGGATAATTTGAGTGAATTTACGGAGGTTTTAAGTGAAATTAATGCCGTAATCGAAAGTAGTGAAATAGAATCTATTTTCATTCTCGGAGATTTTAACGCTCATCCGAAAGAACAGTTTTTCACTGAATTAATGAATTTTTGTGAAGAGCGAAGTTGGCTCTGTGCTGATGTGATCAAGTTGGGATTATCTTCTAATACTCACACTTATGTTAGTGAAGCGCATAAATGTACGCGATGGCTTGATCATTGTCTCACTACTGAGGCAGCTTGGCAATGTGTAAATAAAGTAAAGGTTAATTATGACGTATATTGGTCGGATCATCCATTAGAAGTGTATTATGAGCTAGCTAGGTTGCCTCCTAAAATGAAAGTGATATGTAATACAAAGCCTTGTAATGTGATAAGATGGGGGGGAAAGAAACAGCGAAAAAAATAATTTTTTTTCACGATATTTGTAACAGAAAATTAAAAACTATCGATCTCCCTGAGGTATTTAGATGTTGCGCTGATCAAATATGTAGTAATGTGGATCATAAAGCACATATTGATATTTTTTATAGCTCCATTATTAACGTATTAAAGGAAGCTGCAGTAGATAGTTATAAAGTACGTTGTAATAAAAGAAAAAATATAGCGGGGTGGAACAGGCATGTAAGGGAGATACATAATGAAGCTCGACTCTGTTACCAGATGTGGATCCTACACGGTAAACCTACATCTGGCGTTTTGTATGACAACATGTGTGAGACCAGAAAGCGTTTTAAGTCTCGACTTAAGTGGTGTCAAGATAATGAGACACAAATTAAACAGGACATTTTGGTCAAACACCATAGGTCAAAAGACTTTAGGGCGTTCTGGAAACACACTAAAAAGTTTAATAAGCGTTATAAAGCGTCCAGGGCCAACATGAGCCAGGTAAGATAGCTGAATATTTAAAGATATTTTTAAGGTTCAATCTTCGATTGCGTCGACGCAGCAGGTGCTTAGTGCTGAACAAGAATTAAGTGGTGAATATCACCGTATTAAAACTGAGGATATAGCTCGTGTAATAAATGGGATGACTAGGAGTAAGTCTCCTGGTCACGACGACCTCAGCATTGAGCACTTGCAACATGCGAGTGTGCACTTGCCAAGGGTGTTAACTCTATTGTTTAACCTATGTCTAGGACATGCGTACTTACCTGGAGAGCTTATAAAAACCATGGTTGTACCAATATTAAAAAATAAGACTAGTGATGCCTCCGTTGGGTCCAATTATCGCCCAATATCTTTGGCTACCGTAGTTGCGAACGTTCTGTACAGTTTGCTTGATCAGCAACTCAGCCAACACATTCACCTACATGAGGCTCAGTTTGGTTTCAGGCCGGGGCTTTCAACTGAAACTGCCATACTGCGACTCAAGCATAATGTCCAGTATTACACTACGCGAAAAACGCCGGTTTACGCGTGTTTCTTGGACCTGTCGAGGGTATTTGATCTGGTTTCGTACAACGTGCTATGGGACAAACTTAACCAGGAAACTAGCACACCCAAAGAGGTAATTAACCTCTTCAAGTATTGGTATCACTACCAAGCTAACTGTGTGAAGTGGGCTGGCTCATATTCGTCGGAGTACAGGTTGGAGTGCGGGGTGAGGCAGGGCGGCCTTAGCTCCCCTCAACTTTTCAACCTGTATATCAACGGTCTGATCGTGGAGCTCAGTGATGCCGGAGTCGGCTGCTCAAATTGTTTTTTTTTTTTCAAATTGAGTTGCAAATGATGGTTACATTAATGAACAGGGAATTAAAAGAAAGGGGAATGAAAGTGAACGCAAGTAAGACGAAAGTGATGGTTTTTGAAAGAGAAGAAAGCAAAACGGTATGTGAAATAAGAATAGAAGGAGAGTTGATTGAGCAAGTGGATGAGTTTGTGTATTTGGGATGTGTATTTAGCAGGGATGGTAGATATGATAGGGATATAGAACGACGAGTAAATGCAGGGAATAGAGTGAATGGGGCACTACACTCTATTATGAAGAACCAGAATTTGTCAAAACAGGCACGTATGGTAATTCATAATGCTGTGTTAGTCCCTACTTTAATGTATGATAGTGAAAGCTGGGTGTGGCAGAAGAAGCACGAAAGTAAAATAAATGCTGTAGAAATGCGGTCTTTAAGGAATATGCTAGGGTGTAATCTGAATGACAGGGTGAGAAATTGCGTGATAAGAGATAAATGTGGTATGCAAGATGATGTTGTGACCAGGATTAAGAAAGGAATGCTTCGGTGGTTTGGTCACGTAGAAAGAATGAATGAGGAAAGAGTGACAAAGCAAATTTATATGGCAGATGTGAATGGCCGAGTCGGGAAGGGACGCCCAAGGAAAAAGTTTATCGACCAAATTGGCGATATTTTGAAAATGGGCCACGTTAGAAGTACCCTTAACCGACGAGCATGTATGCGTAGATATATGGATGTAAAGGAGGCGAAAGAGGTATGTCAGGATCGTGCCAAATGGAAGTCCGTAGTCTCTGCCTACCCCTCTGGGTGACAGGCGTGAGTGTTTTATGTATTTTTATGTTATGTAAATAATAATTTTTGTGTAGTAATAATTTATGTATTTTGTGAATCTACTAACCCCTAGTTTTTAAGTTTTTTTTAAAGTTTTAAGTGTACTAACAAAATGGGTGTACTTACCTAAATAATGAAATAAATAATAATAATTAGTCACGTGTATGAAAGAGGAATGTGAAATTAAAGGTCTCCGTTTGAATGCTAATAAAACTAAGGTTCTGGTATTTGAAAAGGACGAAGAGAGAACGAAATGTGAAATATGGGTAAATCAGGAACGTCTAGAACAGGTAAATGAAATTGTATACTTGGGGAGTGCTTTCAGCCGGGATGGAAGATGTGATTAAGATGTGGATAGGCGCGTCGCTGCCGGAAACAAAGTCAATGGTGCCCTAAATGCATTAGTCAAAAGGCAAGGCGTGGTGAAGAGTGCACGCCTTGCAATACATAACGCAGTGTTGGTACCGACTTTGTTATATGGCAGCGAAACGTGGGTATGCCAGAAGAAGCATAAAAGCAAGTTGAATGCAGTGGAGATGCGATCTCTTCGTAAAATGTGTAGCGTTACCATAGCCGATCGAAAGCGAAACGAAGAGATTCGCAATATGGCAGGATTGAAAGATGACCTTATCACAAAAATTGATAGGGGCGTACTCCAATGGTTTGGGCACATTGAGCGAATGAGTGAAGACCGAATGGTGAAGAAAATATATAGAGCGAAAGTAAATATTAAAAGGTGTCGAGGTAGACCGAGACTAACTTTCGAAGACCATGTGAGCAAATTGCTCGAAGAGGGGAAGGTCAAGAATACTCGGATACCTAGAAGTGCATGTATGAAGAAGTTAATGAACCTGAAAGAAGCGAAAGAGGTATGTAAGGATCATGACACTTGGCGATCTGTTCTCTCTGGCTACCCCGTTAGGGATTGTGCGTGAAGATAGGTAAGTAAGTAAGTAAATACACTTTCTTGATAGTTGCAAATTCGTTATACAGAGGTTGTTCGCAAGAAACGTTTGGAATATAAAGGTATATTTTATATTGAATCTTATGGACAATTCAAGGGGATCACGAAAAATTTGTTAAATCGAGGAAGTTATATTGAGGTACGTTATATTAAGGTTTGCAGTGTACTAACAATATTATTTTATTTCATCACTCCACATTCGAATAATAAGCTCAGGCGAGGATGATTAACTTTACTGAATTAGTAATCAATATTCCAGAATACCCAGTATCCCGGATTTTAGATATTTTACCACCCGGTCAATCTCAACTGCCAAGACGCGTGCCAATCAATGTGTTTGCAACAAATCAGTGTTCCTTCCACAAGCTGAATACAATACATAGTTGATGACAATGATAACGAATAGATTTTTATTAGCTAGCATTTCCCTTTCTTTAAAAATAAAAAAAACGTTATCTTTAAACTAAGATTTTCTCCCGTGTCGTGGGGGTAATTTATATATGTAGGAAGGTAGTTAAATAGAATTAATTTACTATAACTATAAATTGTACTGAGACTAATTTAATAGCTGATAATAATAATTAATCCGTTTCCGCCAATTAATCATCCGAATAGTCTAGGATGAGCTAGTAGCGGGATACAAGTGAACCGTGCCACGCCAGAGCCATGACTGCCTTAACGGCGGCCGGTCCGTCCGTTTTATACAATCGAGACAAGTAGCTACACGAGCGCAGTAGATGCGACGCGCAGGTGTGCGGTGCACGTGTTGTATACAATAATTCCGACCTGCCACAGAGGCGCTGCTGCACGTTCAATGGCGCAGGTACCGACATATACACAAATTTCACAAGGACAAACATCCAGACCCCGAACAATCTAGACCATGCAAACACTTATTACATGCGAATTCTAACCGGAGCTACAGCTGATATTAGTCATATTGTTTTACTTTTTATTTGTAATCGTGTATGGGTGATAAGTGATAACTTTTACAACAGCTGTAAAACGCAAAGATAGTTAGGATATTTACAAAGGAATAAGTTTAGCAACAGTTATAACGATAACGGAAATAGAATGTTTTATTACGTTATTTTCTATATGATGTCGTGACACAGCATAATGGTAAGGGTGACCTTACTAGTAACAGATGCACAAATCTCTAATAAAAATCAATTTCTGTCTCGAAAAAGTTTATAAGCGGCTCGAAAGAAAGTTTTACATTTTTTTTGTGTGTGTTTGAATAGGTCCCTAGCTGGTTAAGATACGCAGTTGGATCCGGTAGGTGGCGTTGTTGTCGTGATCCAGAAAACATTCAAATAAAGAGGTAGTCTAGGTTGATGAGACCTTCGAGGTATTGCTGCTTGATGGCAGAAATGGGTAGTTTGAAATAACATGATCAAAAACCATAATACTCTTGTTACTTCAAAAAGAGAGACAATAAAATAACTTGCCTTTCAGACAGCAGTCCGTAACCAGGATGAATTGCGTCCACGTCATTTTCTTTTGCTACTCGGATGATTTCCGGGATGCTAAGGTACGCTTCCACAGGCGGTAAGCCCTTGCCGACTAAGTATGACTCGTCGGCTTTTTGTCTGAAACAAACCATAAGGAAATATTAGTAAATTGGCCAATTAAAATTAACACAAACAATAGTTCATTTAAATTGCAGAGGTATTTCGTCGATAACTAACTCTTAGCTCAAGCATTTTATGAAGATACTATAAAATTAGACTTTTTGATGCATTTATTTCTAATTTTAAAGTATTCACAATAAGTGCACGGCCGTGCCATACTTTTCTCGAAGCAGTTCAGGCTATTTTCGACCCCCCCCCCATAACTTCGTTCTGGGTTAAACTAGAAGCCTGAATTTTCAGTAATCAATTAGGAATTGTATAAACACGGTATATTTCAAGTTTAAGTCAATTTGAACCAGTAGTTTAAGAATTATAACTAGTCAAAGTTTCTTACTTTTTTCACTCACTGACTGACCGATCATCAAAACTCTAAGGCACTTCTAGCAAACATAGTAGCTTCAAATTTAGAATACAATCAGTGTTTAGTGTATAAATCAAGGAAAAACTAAAATATTTTGCAATTTCGGTCCAGTTTTCTAGATACACTAACTGCATAAATATCTTTGTAATCCCATATAAATATATAGGATTACAAAGTCAAATTTGCAGTGAATAAATCAGTGTACCTGTATTGTATAATATAACTGAATAATAGGTGTAGATAGGTACGTTCTTGCACTAAACAATCTAATTTAATATATTATGTATTACTTGTGAAATTCTTTATGATTTCATGCGATGGCCAAGTCAATCTATTTATTTAAAACATAAAAGATTTTTAATATTGATATAGTCACTATAAGATGTTGTTAGGTTAGCTAATTACGTAATAACTTAAGACATAAGGATCTTTAAGCAGGGCTTGAACAAATTAACCGACTTGGTATTACATGGATCTCACAACTTTTTACGGTAGAACTGAGTTGCGACACTTGTTTTTTTTTTACAAGTTATGTTTTTGATGGAATTAATTATTCTTCTTTTACAGTCGTAACAGACCGCGGCTGAATATGAGCATATTCCGTTTTAGGAGGGAACTGCATTAATCGACACATTTGTATTGGCGATCGCAGTACCAGAGTTTCACGACTTGAACACTGCTCCCAATCGGCTGTCCGGATATTTTGCGTTTTGCTTAAGATGTTTGTGCGTCATCTATCGAAAACCATAAGATCTACATTCAATGACCATTCTTTTGGTCGCCTCTTAGGATACTTACGATATGAAATGGGGTAGTGGATTCTCTTTTGTTGTCGACACAAAGGCAAAGACCAAACTAAAAACCAAGCAGAGAACCCAACCAACCCCCCCCATCCCATCTCCTCTCGGTCTCCTAAATTGGCAAAGACCAATTAGTTATTTGATAAAAACTTTTAAAGCGTAGTGTAAAAAGGTTACACTCCACCGATAAGTGCCCACTGGTCACGCAGACTTTAAACAACAAACTAAACAAAGATGGGTTCTAAATTATAATTTAAATGGAATGCCTCATAGTTAGTTTGCCTCATGCCTAATCAATACAAGTGTTGAAACTGGCATTTATCCCGACGAACTAAAGATAGGATGTGTTAGACCAATATACAAGAAAGGAAGACGGGATGATTTCCTGAACTATCGACCAATCACTTTATTATCTTCAATAGATAAAATAGGAGAAAAGTATGTGTGTAAACAAATTTATAAATTCTACAATACGCACGATGTAATATGTCAAAATCAGTATGGTTTTCAAGCTGGGAAGGGTACAAATGATCTCTTGATGAAGTTAACAGATGAAATTAACGAGTATCTTAATAACAAAAAACATGTACTCGTCCTATTTATAGACTTTTCACGGGCATTCGATACTCTTGATCATAAACAAATTATCACTAAGTTGGACAATTGTGGAATACGGGGACCTCTTCTGAGATGGTGTACAAATTATCTTAAAAATAGGAAATTCTATGTTAGAATAAATGACACACACAGCGACCCGGTGACTGTAACTGAAGGCACAGCACAGGGATCTGTGCTTGGCCCCCCTCCATTTTCTGTCATATGTAAACGACATGCGCTTTTACATAAATCAATGTTCATGCTACCAGTTTGCAGATGACAGATAGAGTAGAGAGTTGCTAGTCGCCGATAAAGACCCTGATATAGCATGTGAATTGTTACAGTCTGACTTTAATATGCTTGCAAAATGGTGTCATGACGCCGGATTGGTTCTGAACTCCACCAAAACCAAGCTGTTACACATAAAGTCTCCTTATATCAAGTGTACTTTATCCAAGCACATAGTTGCTCACAATCATAGTTGCCTTCACTCTTCTTGCAAAAACACATGTAGTTGCCCCTCTATAGATCTCGTCAATACCCAGACATATCTCGGAATGCAGATCGATAGTAAGTTTACTTGGCATAAACACATCGAGTATGTTTGTAGCAAATTAAGACAATTCTTAGCTAATATTATAATACTGAAGAACAGAATTCCGTTCCCAGTTAAGATGATGTTATATAACTCTCTAGCAGAATCGTATATACAGTATGGTTTAGGTAGCTATGGTCGTACATATAATACTTATTTAAACAAAATATATAACCTCCAGATAAGAATCCTTAAAAACATTGTAACAGACAAAATTCGACGTCAATTTCATAATGATGATAGTATGCTCTTCAAGCACTGTAATATATTACCAGTTCATACGCAAGTCAAATATTTACTACTAAAAAACACTTTTTTAATGAAGACTTAATATTAGAAATCAAGCACCCCGTGTGTACGCGCGCCGAAAACAGCCGCAAGCTGCAGACGAGCCGTGCAAACAACATGTACGGGGAACGAACGGCGGGTTACATTGTTCCAAGACTTATAAACAACCTACCCCCAGAATTCCGCGACAAATTAAATATAAAAAACATTAAAAAAAACTTAAATTGTACTTTTTGAATAACTTATAATGGTACTACTTAAAACAGCGCTTATGCCTTTGCTCAGGTCCTATTAGGCTGTAAATGCTTTCTCTTTTTCTTTTCTTACAAACGTATTTAATTATTAATTATACTTTAATATAAAGTCGACTCAGGTCGCGTCAGCACAAACCTTAGTGGTTTTTTGTATGCGACTTTTTAGCATAGTTTTTTTTTCTTTCTTGTAATGATTTGTAATATGGTAAATAAATAAATAATAAATAAAATAAAATAGTATCTTATTAATTTCCCTAGAAGCTAATGACTCCTTTTTATATACGATTCGTGAAGAAAAAATGTTTGCCACTTGCAAAAGCCAAATCTCAGTAAGTAATGAACGGCCTTTGGCGTAGCGAATTAAGGGTCACCGGAAAAAAAACCTACGCTACCACAGTTTCTTCTCTTTTGCTCTAGCTTTACTAGTTTCTCTCTTTATTTTTAGTTCTTAACGGTTAAAATAAATGCGAGAAACGTATAAGGGATATTTAACAAAAATTGATTATGAGAAATATTTTTTTATAATACCTATATTTTAAGAGTATGCAAAATAATTTCACCTTATGTTACACTCACTCCAATCCTTGGAGTGAAACGGTCCGATATTATATCTTCATTTAAAAACGCTTTACAAACCTTTATCAAATCAATATAATATACAATAAATTTATAATTTTATTGTAGTATAATCCTATTTAAAGAGCATGTAAACATTCACTTGTGTATTCAATTTAATAATACTAACAATGAATGCAAATTGATGGTAATGAATCTACAGCATTGCATAAGCTTTAATATACAACCGTTTCTTATACGGTCACAAAGATTTACATACATTATCTTCTATTCTATACATAAAATAAAAATGTAAATTGCAGATGTCTGTACATTTTATATTTTTGTAACAAAATTGAGAATGACTAAAAATAAGTATATGAATACATTTCTATCATTTTTAGAATTGTCTGTCTGTTGGTTTGTTAACGTATCATATATAAAGTATTGATTTATATCAAAATAATCTTTAGGAAAATTGTGATGCGTATCTTCGTTTTACATTTAGTCTTCGTTTTATTAAAATCGGTTCATCCTATCAAAAGTTATTATTAATATACTGAAGTATGTGTACGTGTTAAGTATTTGTTCAAAAGTGGCGTTTAGTGATAAGGACATTTTTGTAATTAAATTTGAAATGTAAAATAGTGTTCTATAAAGGTATAATTGTATAAAATAATATATAATATACAAATATAAAAATATTTAAACCTGTAGCGCGCCGATACTTACCTATGTCACCCGATGTCTCTCTATCCCCTCTCGTACGGTGCCCCACCTGCGCCACGGGATCGCGCCACTCGTCCGAACCTTTGACTGCCGATACAAGCAGTATGCTAGCCGACTAGCTCTGAGCTATACATATGTGTATTATTGTTTGATCCCGCGCTCGCGCTGCGTTCGCGAGACGCCGTTTATGTACTTACGTGTCAAATATTGCCTATACTGTTACTATTTAAGTGAATAAACTGTGCATTCGGATTATTTGTAACGTTTCATTTATCATGCGTGACCAGTGAACGTTATATTGGCTCCCAACGGTGGGCCACGAACGAACCTACCGTGGCTCTCGAAGTTTCTAGTGCACAAGTACGTACGCGAGTGTATGCCTAGTGTACCCACGCGTTTTTCCTTGATATTGAGACGTGAACTACAAGGACACAGTCATAATGCCACCGCGAAAACCGCGTAATAATGACTCCAGTTCGGATGAGGAACCGGTGAAGCCGACACCTGTAAACCCGACACCTGCGGCACCTGTGCTTATGTCCGAGAACCAGCTTTCGTCGCTTCTGGCCGCCTTCTCTGCGGCACAAGCCGAGGCAAACCAGAAGCTCGTCCAGTCTCTTCTGACATCGCACTTAGGGGCGCCGCCGAATGTCGATTCAAGCGCTGCCGGCGCGGCCACTGTCACGTCACCGCGGTCGTCATCTATCCCAGGAACATTCGTAAAATGCACTACACGGTTCGACGGTTCATCTCAACACCCGGAAGCAGTGGAAGCATTC